GCCACGTAGGCATGAGACAGCCACATTTCACCACACGATGCAGTCCTCGAACGGCAGTTAGCAGCAGTTAAGTTGACTGTGAGAGGAGGGGCAAATTTGCTCGGATTGTAGAGTTCAGGAGCTTAAATGCATCAATTAGAGTCTAGGGGCTTAATAGCGATTCTGGGGTTGGTTCAGGGGCTTAACTTATGGTTTTGCCTTTTCAATTTACAACGGCAGTCGTTAATGAAAAAAGGCCAATGAAAAGAATATTATATTCAACAATTGTTTTGAGAAAATATAAAGTGAACAAAAAATTATTGAGGCATGAAGAGTAAAACAAATCACTGAAGTACTTGAGCCATGAAGAGTCTTTAAAGCCGAAGAAAAGTTACCGACAATGATGCTACTTGACAGACATGTATTAAAGATGAAAATTTTAATTGTACACGAAGAGTAAAAAAATCAATGCAGCAAAGCAAGACTTCCTCTCCACAATGTTGTGCATGCAAAAGCCCTGCACAAGTCTGACTGCAACGCCTACTGATATACATGGAAAACTCCTACAATCATTCTAGCAAAATTTTAGTCCTCCCATATACCAGAGAAAAAAATAATAAAAAAAAAAAGAAGAAGGAAGAAGAGGGAATCAGTGCACCAAAATTGAGATCAAGCGAGCATCAACCGTCTCGGCAAACATCTGCAGCTCCTTCTTAGGCAAGCACTTGACAAGAGAACTACAGCTCTTTAAGTCCAGCTTGTGATTATTATTTGACAAACCAGGATGAGGTTTCTGGTATTTGATGAGGAATATGCTGTCAGAAAAAGAATCTACTATCATATACTTTTTGAGAAATATGCATCGTTCAACTGCATGCTCCATCTAAAGTAATTCTGATGACATGAACAAGCATCCAGTGCTTACTTAAAACTCATCCATAAAATGTGTAAATATGCAGGCCATACCTCTTACTCATCCTCGCATGGAACCAGTTCCATCAGCTTTCTCACAAAGATAACGGTAAACAAGAAGCCCCTGTAACTATGTATGTGCACAATAATAATGCCATTTACTTCCAGCATCACGCTTGACCATACTACTCTTCGACTTTGCCTGAAATTCCAGTAACAGCTTTGTTGCTGCCCTTCTTCACTTTCTTGGAAACTTTCTTTCGTGGCAGTAGATTCTCTGCACAACTACTTTCGGAGTCACTTACAAGCTTTTTTGCAGCTATATTATAATCAGGTTGTTCACCCTTTTCTTCAGTTAGTCCATCTTTTGGTGCATTAATTGGCTTTTTAGGAGTCATCTTATCAGACGCTTTTTGGGAAGCAGCAATGTCTTTGACAGCCTCATTTGAACTGGGTTTCTCCAGGTTAGTTTCAGGTACAGGAAGAAGTGCACGGCGGCTAAGTCGAAGTTGACCCTTATCGTTCACCTGTATTGTATTCCCAATATATTGAGGGACATTCACTTAAAAAGTTAAGGAGAAACAAACACAGAATAAAACATATACTGCAATTCCATTGCGTAGACCATGAGAAATTACACAAGGTTTCTATTGCAAACTTGTTCTTGCCTCTAAAGATCCACATTTATGAGATTATAGATGCAGGACAGAAGCCAGATTCAAGAATTGACCCCAAAAAAAAAAGAAGGAAAAAAAAAAAGCTCATGCAATGAGTAGTCTATGATGGATTAAATTAGCATGAGTGTAAGAATTCTCAACTACTGTCAACAATTAATTGTACAGGGACTATATTATGTTATTCAACATATGGATTGTCACTTATGTTGGCAACAATCAACATGAATGTAAAATTGTATACACATGTTACTAACTTGCTAACACAATCTTCTTGTTAGCATTAAAATATAAAAAAGCCTTAATTTCATTCAGAATCCATGGGTAAGTCATTGACTTCTTTATTAGGAAAGCTCTGAACATCAAATGCACGGGATTAAAGTGGTACAAGGGCTAAAGTTTGTATTAGATTAGACCATTTGAAATAAGCTGACTAGTCCTTTCTCCTTTTATTTGATATAAATGAGGGAAAATGAACTTAGGATCTCTAACTTAGAGAAGGATGTAGCTAGCAATTAGGCTATGCCTCCACCATAGCAGTAAAAGAAAAAAAATCCAGGCAAAATGCATCAAGGACATGAACCTTTCAGATTTTACCAAAGTATGGAGCAAACTATTTTTTTTTTCCTGATTCAGAACAAAACCTCTTTGAATTTGATTGAAGACCAAATCCAATGAAAACTGTTATCTATTAAATTTAGAGGAAGATGCATTTGGTATCATTTTTTTCTTTAGTAAGTCTAATAATAGCTCTACAATAGGGGATAGTCCTCCCCTTCCTAAACCCCTCCCCATGTATCCCAAGATTGGAACTTGAGATCTCCAACATGAACACTCAAGTTCTTAACCATTAGGACATCCCCTAAGGGACATTTCATATCATTTGTTATGCTGATATTGGATCCATGTGGCATTTCTTTTTATTTATTAAAAAAATATTTTGGATAAAAAATCTAAGAGAAAAGTGAAAATCAGAAAAATATTTCGGCTTTAAATGCTAGGACTCCCTCTTAAATTGTTCAAATACCCTTAACGAATCTTTTTTGTATGTTGATTCATTAAGGATATTTTAATCTTTTAATTATGTCGTGATTCCTCAATCCCAAAATGTAATTCAAAAAAATAATACTACCTCTGTTAATTTTTTTTACCCAAAATATAGGGATGTAATAATTAGTTGATAAAATTTCATATTATTCCTAGTTAATCACTAACTAAATATTTGTGCTTAGTATAATGTGTTGTAACTATCTTCTTAAAATAAGAGTAAAATAGGAAGCATTAAATGACATTTTTGAAATGTAAAAAGTGGATAACTAATTTTGAAGGCCTCAAATCAGAAAGTAGGACAACTAAAGTTTAATGGAGGAAGTAAAAATTTAAGAAATTTTTTTAAGAAAAAAACTCCCTCTGTTGGCAGGAGTCAAGGGAGCAGCTGTTTGGAGGAAAAGAGGGAGTAAGGAGAAAGAGAGAAGAAAGAAAGCTGCAAGGATCAGATAGCACACTCTGTTAACATCCAGTTTGTGCCCAACAATGGTAAGTTCGGAGTTTGTGTCTGTATTTGTCTATTTCACATTAAGTTTATGGGACCATTTTAATGTTAGTATCCTAATTCCGTATAAATAAAAACCTGTTCTATGCATATAAATAAGGGAGAATAAGGTTCAAACCTCAATAAGTTTAACATCAACATGATCACCAACTTTAAACATCTGCAAGAACCCCAATAAAAAAGAATCTTAGTAATAATTAGTTCACTGATATCTGGACAATGAAGGGAAAAAAAATAGAAACAGAAGGGAAGGGAACTATCATACATCTTCTGCTTTTGACAAATACTCAGCAGTCAGTTCACTAATGTGACAAAGTCCCTGAAAAATAGAAAACTTTTACATCTATAATGTAGAAACGTTTTACATCAATAAATTTTCACATTTCATGAATCATAACCAATAATTAGGAATACTCTAATCCCAGACATTCTTGAGTATATAATCTATCATTTCTTTTTATAAATTTGTTGGTTCTACACGTGCATGAAATTCAATTTCAATTCATCCTTTCTCAAAAATAAGAAACAATCAATTAATTATTCATATTCAATGGAAGAGAATATTTGAACAAAAGATGGAACTCTGTGTTGAATTTCTTCTTTTTTTCCATTTTTTCCTTTTGGATAACATGGGTATCGACCCAACTAATCCCACAGGTACTTGCAAAAGGCTCTGTGCACAAGTACTTCGTAGAGCTCCACCTTCAAGGGTGGCAAGTGTGGCCCATTGGAATTGTTTGCATCCAAATGCCATTGAAGGGATTTGAACCTGCATTTTTAGCATGGTACAAATCACTCCTTAACCACTTGATCCAACCCAATAGGTTATAGTGTGTTGAAACTTAGATATTCAATATTGTTCTTGTCTTTTGAATGGTCAGGAAAAGCTACAACATCTTTTGTGCACTTTCATTTAAAAATTGAAATGCTATTGTAGAAGAGAGGCATATTAAATAAAACAACAGCTTTTCACGGAAACTAAAATTATACCTATACTTTAATGCCAATTTGACAATAAAATATTCAAAACTTCAGAAAATGTGCGTTGAAAATGTTGCAATAAAATAAATACCTCCCGTCCTGGTGCAATCTCTACAAAAACTCCGTAAGGAGCAATTGATTTTATCTTGCAATTCCTGATAAAGAACAAAAGAGAGCCAATTACTTTCCTACCAATTACTTCTGTACTTTATATAACCAAGCATTAAATGCAACAAGATAGCAGAGAATTTTCAAATAAGAACGAAAGAAAAAGAATTAGCCTTGTGAGCTTCTTAACAACACCTGTGACAGGGCCAAAGGTAATTTTTAGCAAACCCCCCCTCCCCCCCCTCAACACCGAAGACAATATATAAACTCCATTGCTCTTTAGGAACAATTACTATTAGGAAATCTGGTCAGAAACATTGCAGTGATAAAGGTAAAATTATTTGTCACCCTCTACCATGCACTTCTAATGCTTGGTTGTATTTGATGTCTTACATCTCAATGATATTGATAGATAATCCCTTGGAAGGTGGAACTGCAGAATAATTGCTTCACCCCAAGAGAGAAGGAAAGGCCAAGCTAAAAAATGAGAAAGATACCTGAAGATATCACCAACTGTTGGAACCATGGTCAGACTACTGATAATGGATTTAGACTTCTCTAGACTTGACAAATCCTTTGCAGTGATTTTCACCTATGTGGAAAAGAAGATTAAAATTGAAGTGGCGAAACAATTATTGTCAAAATATTCAGTGAAAGATGGGTACTAGTATAAATATTACAGTTCCATCATCTTGTGTCTCAATAGTCTCAACTCCAGTTTCTTCAATGATACTTCTCACCTTCTTACCCCCAGAACCAATAATAGAGTTCACTTTTTCAGGAGCAACCTGAAAATCAACATTAACACATTATAAACGGCATGGAACATTTTATTAGTTACCAATAAACAGATGGTAAAATGGATCTATGGGAGATGAACAAACCTTCATGATGTGAATAATTGGAGCATACTTGGAGAGTTTATTTGCAGGAGGTGGCAAACATTTTGACATTTCAGCTGAAACATTAAATTAAAAGAAGAAAAGGAAAAACAAGTAGAATAAGTTTCTTTTTGCACAAGTCAGATATTTCACCATTTGGGCTGAATTCTTAAATTGATGACAAAATAACAACTTAGCTGAAAAAACACAACAATAATAGGAAGATGAAATTACATTATTTCTGAGATAAAATGCAAGTACTGAAGCTCAATCAACCAGTAAAATTTCAAAGCTCCCTCCACCCAATAGCATTGGACAAAAAAAAAAAAAGAAGCTATCTTGTATATGATTAATAACAAACCAGATGCTCCATTCATAATCTATTGCCACTAGAAAATATAGGTGGTTGGCATACCAGCATCCATTTATTAGTATCTGTAGTTATTGATTATCTACAGAGCATATTGGGGATAAACCTCAGAATGGAAAGTGAAAATACCCTCTAGCTCCCTCACAACCCACAGCCCCCCACCCCCAAAAAAGAAGAAAAAAAATCTCCTTTTCCCTTTTCATTTTGCCTGGATACCCACATTATCCAAAAGAAAAAATACAAAGAAGAGAAGGAATTCAGCTTCTTTGAATACAACATTGAAATGAAAATCAGAGACTTCTATCATTTCATCTGAATTTACGGGCAAATAATATTCTGATCAAGTGGCAGAGAGGAACTGGTCCACAGAGCTTGGAGAGACTAAGCAGAATTGAAGGCCAAGCAAACGATGGCATGGAAAAGGAGGCTGTGAGCAGCAGAGAAAAGGCAAGGACAAAACTGGTATAAACAATCACAAATGTAGGAAAATTTATAGCAGGCTAGGTAGATGAGGAGACACAATCAGTTCCTGCTGCAACATAATGTTCAGGAAAGACCCTTCTAGTGCATCAACAAGGAATCATCTAGAAAAATTTAAGGTTTGTGTTTTTTCTAACAAATATTCAAGGCCCCTTGAACACCCATGCAATCCAAGTGCTAATGAAATTTGTCAATCCCACTAAGACGTTAAATGAGAAACAGCTAATAAGAAATATCAACATTCTTAGATACCATCATCACTTTCTCAACCAGTGAAAGTCATTTTAAAAGTATACATGAAGAGTGAGAGCATCACTTTCAACGTGACTGATCCTCTCCAACAAAACTATTCAAACAATGCAAATGCAGAACCAACTTGAGATTTTGGTGGTTGCAGTGCAAGAAAAATGTTGAAACCAATGAAAACTCTATTGTGATACTTTCTCATAATTTTGAAGAATCAAATCACACTAAAGGAACAACAATTAAAAATTTTTTTTTCATGAAAACATGTACCCCCAATTCTGTCCAATCAACCAATTTCTCTGAAGTTGCAGAATTCAAACCAAGCTTCCTTACAAGCATGGCCAAATTTTTGAATGGTTTAAAGAGTAATACCAAAATCAAGCTATCAAAATAACAGTAAAGAACCAAAATCAAGAGAGAAATAATTAACATTAAAATGTTTGTACAACCTCTGTCATATATCTGAACCTTGATGGACTTTGACAAAATAAACTAACAGATGAAGGATATTCAAACTAGAAAACCCAATTCAAAAGGATGGATAACCATTTTGACAGAATTTCAAATTGCCAAGTGGAAAAATCCCACAAACATGAATTAGGGAAACCTGTGGACTTGTCAACCTACTTCCCTTTGGTTTTAGATTGGATGTTTATATGGTATCAAAACACAGATCCAAATCATGAGCACAATCCAACGTTGGTTGTTGTAAGCCTGATTGGTGTGCAGTGTGCAACTTAGAAGAGGTCATCACACGCCCAACTTAGGAGAGGTAGACAATGGCTTGGTGGGCTTTGGTTGTGAGTCCATGTGAGAGGTTTAGTGGATCTACGTGTGAGCGGGTGTGTTAAGTGGGAAGATCCAACATCGATGAGTTAAAGGAAACCAATGGATTTAAATGCTATGTACACTACTTCACCTATTGCCAATTGGTTTTAGGCACACAAATTATTTAATAAAAAAAAGTTATTATGATTAAGATGTACCTCATAAAAGATAGTATAAAGAAAAGGAGGGAGAGGGAGAAAGCAATGCCATTGCTATAGGGTATTTAATACTTAAACTAATATAATTATCTTGGTTTTGCCAACCAGAAATATTTCAACTTGAATGCAAGCCAAACAAGAAGTCTTAAAACTTTACACATACTCTTCTACACAGAAAAACTTCCTCCTTTTTTTTTTTTTTTTT